AGCCTGATGATAGGTTTGGCAATTAACAGTCATCTAAATACAGCTACATATGGTAGGCCCATGAATAATGAGATGCATATTTAGAAATTAGTGCAGAGTTGGTTACATCCTCCCTGGAACCACAGAGAAAGTGCAAATTCCCTCAGAAATGCTGCCTCTAGTGCAACTCCAGCCTGTGTTTAACCCCATCTGCAGGCACTGGTGGTGGGATGTGCTGGTGCTGGGCACAGCCAGGGCAAGAAGTGGGAGCAGCAGGGGATCCCCCCAGCCTCTGCTCCCTGGGGACAGCTCAAGGCTGTCACATGGCAGCCTGTTCCAGAACGAGCACACTCAACAGTTCAGTCCATCCCTGCAATTAGGAGACAATAACTCTTGGGGGTGGGGGGAATGTAACAAAATATTAAGCCATCAGTTTTCATTTGTATGAAGCCCCATGTTTGCTGCCAGAGTGCTCTATCCCATATATAGCTCCTGCCAAATAATGTACATTTACCTCATTTCCACCCACAAGCCAGCATGGTCACCTATAAAGATTTATGTTTGGGACCTGTACACAGACTGGAGATGAGTTTCAGATGGATCATCAGGCACTTAAACAGTTTTAGAACAGCCTTGGATGTCATTAATCTTAATAGATACAGCAATGATAATATAAGACAGAGAAGGTCCCATGGGGCAGGGGAGGAGGTGGTCCTGGCTCTAAGAAAGTCTTGTTCCGCTATTTAACTTCAGGAATCAAGACTGGCTGGGCCAAAGTCCCTCTCCTTCCTCTCACCTTGGCCCAAAGCCAGTCTCTGGGGAAGAAGGAGGAATAAAATACATATGCAGTGACAGATTTGTGTACTGCACATCTCTGCCCTCAGCATCTCTTCAGGAATGAGTACAAATTTACCTGTGAGTATAAGCTCAGTCCCTGTTACAACCAAAGCTAAATTAATCTCAACTAAAGGTATGCTTGAGTATCTATATTATACCTATATGATTGATTTTTTTCCTGACAAGGTTTAAGAAGCTGGTTTGAGTAGATGCCAGGGTCTAATACAGGGCAAATTCAGATCCAGTGTGGCATTCAGACAGTGAATGAGCTGAGACACTGCTGTGCTGTCAAAGCATAGGTGAATAATACTAAACACAACAGAGTATTTGGAGTCAGAAGTAACAACTACCTCGTGAGAGCACAGGAAGCATCTGGGTTAATTTGAAGGTATATGGACCATTTATCACCTTCCCCAAAACCCGCAATGCATGGAACCCACTGCAGTAGAGATATTTGCATCAATGTCTAGACCTTAAGTAACTTCTCCCTAATGCCCAAATCCCCAAGACTGTTCTTTGGTGGTCAGTCCTCCAACAGATCTCTGAACCATCCTTAAATGTGTTGTGATTTCACTGGCAAGTAAACAACTGACCACAAGCTGCAGAATAGAAAAATCCTGCAAGTGCAAAGATGAGAAATACATCAATATTCATTGATGGAGACCTACTCCCATTAACATCTACACTGTATAAGGAAACAACCCCAAATGTCATCCTGAAGAATAGCAAGCAGTTTTATTGGAGTAAATGTGGCCTCTCCAGTTGTCACAAACACAGCTATAATTATTTTTTAAAAATAATTAAGCTAAGTATTACCACCCTCTACAAAACTTTGTTTGTTTGTTTCTGTTTGTTGTGGGTGATCCTTGGTTTGCAGCTTGTTAGCAGCATGTCACCAGGGAATAAACACAACCACACACACAAAAGAAACTTCTTTCCCAACATCTTTCAAGGCTCTGGCTGCTGCTAGCTTCTGACGCACACAATTGCTGCAGTTTGGGTTTTTGGTTGTTGCATAGCTGTCACTATTAGTAGTTTGGGATGCATTAATTTCATGTGTCCTTATTACTCAAAGATGGGAATGATGATAAATTCAATGATTTTAAAGGAGTGAAGGGATTTCCTTGCCACAACAAGTGTTTTCTCTGTTCCATCTAACCACAAGGCAGTAATGCCCACCTCATTCTTTCCACAAAGGATTTGGGTCTAGCTTTATTGATCCAGTGCAGCTGCAAGAGCCTTTCATAAGCATGATCAAAATGCCAATAAACTCTGCTCTTATATAGCTTCTTCTATTTGTCCAACACCTTTTCCTGCCTTAACCTGCCCACATCCTGGAGGGAGGTCAGCATAGTTGGTTGCAAGCACATAAACCTCATACAACGTGCTGGAATCACACCAGGAGACTGGGCAGGGCTGGAAAAAGGACTTCTTCCAGTGCTCATACTTACTTTTCCTTGCACAAACTCATAGATATGTTTTTTAAGTGTCAGAGCTGCTCTGCTTTTCCTTCTTGATGGAAGCCTTTTCCATCAGCAATGTCAGGCTGTGGATGAGGTTAGGGGGAAACAGGGACAGCACTGGGTCTTATCCCAGTGCTCTTCCCATAAATCTGAGATGTAGACTTCTTTCAGTGGGGAATAAGAGTGAAGCAGGGAGGAGGCTGAAGTTCTGGAAATACTGCCCTGAATGGATGATCTTGCAGGCTTGACTCACACCAAGCTCCCAGTGGAGTGAATGGGAGGGCTGCTGGACTCGTATAGAGAGGGAAAATTTCATTATTGACTCCCTTCCCCCATATGTTTAGGTCTGTCCTAAGGGAAGGACAATATTTTCCGAACAATTTGTCATTTCTTTTTCTGAGCTCTCCTTTCCATTTGGCTCCAAAACAAATGTGCGTGCACAGAAAGAAGCTTATTCTTTTACAGTTTGCCTCTTCTGGGAAGCTTAGAAATGTTACAATCCAGTCATGTTCCAAACATCCCAGTTTCTCCCAGAGAAGCAATGTGGCCTTTTAGACACTATTCCAAGGATGGTCTAAAAGGGAAGGCTGCAAATAAAGGAATGGGTGAGTTTGGAGAGTAATTTCATCTCTGTATTTGGAAATATGGAGAGAGATCCTTTTAATGAATGTTTGTGATGGTTTAAAAAAGAAATTGTAAAGGTTTCTTCTCTTTGTGTAGGAACAATCTGTGTCACCATCACACAGAATACCATCTTGGCTGTGGAAACAATACTTTTGGAAACTGGCTTGGCTTGGAGGTGATTTGATGCTGGTTTGGTTGGCATTGGGAGGGTCACCTGGTTATGAGGTGCCCTTCCCTCCCAACCCCTTGCAGCACTGGACACTCCACGCTGTCATTTGGGCACAAGCCCTGGTGTGTTATTGACACCCCTCAATTCATCTAATGTCTTCTCTGGGGAGAAGCTTTGAAATTATCATCTTTTATTCCGAGAGCTGAGAAAAGCAGATACTGAGACTAATTAATCCACCTCTGAATCGAGTGTGAAGGAAATAACAGTATTTAGGTACCTGCTTATACTCACAGCTTCTATTTCCACCTTATCTCAGTTCACTCCTACATCTTGCCTCAAAGCTACACTTGTTTCTCTAGTACCTGAAGCTTGCAGTTAGTGCTGTTAGTGTTCAGAAATGTCTCAGTCCCACGGACCTATGTGGCTGAGGAGCTCAGTCAGGCTCCCAACTGTAACACACATTCAGCAAGGACTGTCTCCCAGACTCGGAGGGGTGGAATCTCTATTTAATCTGCCCTTGCAGAGGCCACAAGCCAGCTCCACTGCCCTACTAGGTGATCTCTGACCAGTTGTTTGCCTCTCCTGAGGTCTTTTGATCACCTCTAAAAGGGGGTTCACTCTGAGCTTGTCCCTCCAGAAGGAGGCTCCTGGGCTGGGGGAGATTCCAGCATATATAATCTTTATGGAGGAAGGATCTTGACAGCCACAACCCAGGCTGCACACGGGCAGGATGCTCAGTATTTGCCCTATTCACCTGCTCATAGTCATGACTCAAATTACTTGAAAACCTTCACAGAATCAGAATCACAGGCTGGGTACAGTAGGAGGGGACCACTGGAGGTCCTCTAGTCCAACATCCCTGAAGAATTTCTTCAGCACCCACCCACAGATCTGGGCAAAACCTCTCTTGGTGCTGAGTGAGCTGTGCCCTGGTGCTGGGCCATCTGCAAGACTGGTAGGACACAGAGTGTCTCCCCAGCTTCTCAGGCAGGCAGGCAGGCAGCAGCCTGGGAAGCTCCCCTCCATCCTCAACATGTAAACATCTGCTGGAGGAAGACTTTCCCCCTAATAAAACATCATTAAACATTGATTTAAAGACAATCATCTTCCCTCTTTTCAGTTTCACAGCACCTTTAAAACAGCTGTTAGGCTGCAGAGGAGATGATCAGCTGAACAGGAAACACATTGTTAGCTCCCAGCATTAAAACAGTAGAATGCATTAATTTATGAGCTCCTACTCCCTCTCCAAAAGTTTTATTATGTTAATATCACCTTGATGTGCTGGTAGGCCCCAGTGCCAAAGCCTCTTTCACACAGTATGTGCCATCCTAAATTACAGGCTGGTGCCTCCTGGAACTGCCTTTGGAAAACTGGAGTAAACCAGTGAGCACTGAAGTTAATATTATCTTACAGACTAACAACCAGCTAATGCTCGACATGTGAATCCCATTTACTTCTTCTCTCTATAACAAATGGCAAGTGTGGGACTGGACTGTTGCTGATTTTATGCCATTTATCTTTCTGATCCATTCCATATTAGTTGTCCTTAGTGTTCAGCTACAGTTATAGCCTGTGTGTGTACGAGTGTGCGACCTGCTCTACTTAGGAAAGCCCTGGGCACACCCCTGCTGTTGGGTTTGCTTGGTCGCTGCGTGACTTTTGTGTTTTTCTCTTGAGAGGGAAACTTCCAGGGGGTAGATATGAGAAGTGCAGTGTCTGGAACTCTAGAAGCATCCCCGGAAAATTAAAGCAGACCAAGGGCTGGGAATGAGCAGCGAGCTCAGTGTGCCGGTATCACCCAGTCAAGCATCTCCTGGAGCGCTGCATCCTCCAACCTGGGCAGCCCTGGCTGCCGTCCGCAGCCTTCCCCCGGCTGCTCAGCGCCGCACTCCCAGGTCCGCACTGAGGTCCTGAAACAAGACAGTACTTCAGGGGTGGGAAAAGAAGTGAAAAAAGAGGCCCTTCCTTGTCCCTGTCCCCTCGGACAAAAGCCCTAAGCGGGAGGAAATGGAGCGGGCAGGGGCCGTGTAGGCAGGAGCGCGAAGTCGCCCCCCGAGCGAGGCTCGGCCGGGCGGGAGTGTCCGGAGCGGGGGGCCGGGCTCGGGGATGCCGTCGGCAGCAGGACGGAGGTGCGGAGCGGCCGGCGCCGCCGCTCTCCCGGTGCGGGCGGCGCTGGTCCCGGCCCTCCCCCGTCTGCGGCACCCTGGGACGGGGCTGACGTCAGGAGGAGACGGGGAAATCTCCCAAGAAAACCCTGGAGCGGCGGCCGGGGCGCGCACAGCGCCCGCCGGGCCCGGCACCCGCCGCCGCCGCGCGCACCGCCCGGTGAGTGCCCCACGCGCGTCCGCGCCGCGCCCGGCCCGCCCCACGCGGGTCCCGGCCCGCCCCACGCGGGTCCCGGCCCGCCCCACGCGAGTCCCGGCCCGCCCCACGCGGGTCCCGGCCCGCCCCACGCGGATCCCGGTCCGCCCCACGCGAGTCCCGGCCCGCCCCACGCGGGTCCCGGCCCGCCCCACGCGGGTCCCGGCCCGCCCCACGCCGCGGAGCCGCGCCCGTGCCGCGGAGCCGTCCTGCCCCAGCCCCGCTGGCCGCCCCGGGGCTCTCCGCGGGCGCGGCCCGGGTGCGGAGCGCTCCCGCCGGCCAGACAAAGCCGAGCCGCGGCCTCGCCTCCCGCCCCGCGCTCCCCGCTCCGCTCTCCGCGCAGTCCTTGACATCTTTATACCGTGTATAAATTCTTTCGGGGCCTCTGCGCTTCGTCAGCTCTGACAAATGCGCTGGGAAAGGCAATTCCAGAGGGGTTACCTCATTTTATATATTTTTTTTATGTATGTATATATATATATATATTTAATTTTTTTTTCCAAACGCACCGTAACGTTTCCAGCCCCCAGCGCTGCTGCTCGGGACGCTCCGCGGCTCGTTCCCGGTGCGCTCGGCGGGGAGGCCGGTGGCGGTGCGGTGCCCGGAGCCTCGGCGGCCCCGGCGGGGCTGGGGCTCCCCGGAACGAGCCGGGGGTGCGGGTGATGCGGGCCGGGGCTGCGCGGTGCCTCAGCGGGGCTGCGCTGCCGCGGTGAAGAGACAGCAGCTGCCAGGGATGCGCAGGGCGGGCGGGCGGAGAGACCCTGGGCCGTCGATGGATTTTCCTTTTCAGGAAAATTCCTGAAAAGTGCTTTCCTCTTTTTGGTTTGGGTTGTTTTGGTTTTGTTTTTATTTTAATTTTAAAAATAGGCACTATGTTTGGGGAGTATATGTATCACGGGTTCCACGCAGCTCCTATGGCGGAGCAAAGTCCTGGAACGGAGGGAGAAATTACTTTTCTCCTCGTGTTAACCCTGCTTAAATGGACGTGAGGAATGCCCACTGATGTTATCTTTCGGGGATTTCGTTTTGAGTCTCACGTTAAAAACTTTGTCACTAAGTGAGTTTTCTATTATTTCTATTATTTTCTATTATTTCTTCCCCTTTCCCCAAATTTTGCCAATCACATTGCAGACAAACACAAAGTCCGACTCATGAATTAAACATAAAATGATACGTAGTGCTTGAATTGAGAACCTAGATGTTGTTTGCTTTTTTTAATAGCTATTTAAATATATATATTTTCCACTTAACAAACCAAAGTCCATGTTCTCCAGGTTATTCCCTGCGCCAGCTCCAGCCGCCTATATAAAAACTGACTTCCGAATATTTCCTGAGGTCTACTTCACTGGCAGAACTTCCCAAAAATCCATCATTTGCCTGAAATAAGAACAAAGTCCTTGAAAATCCCGCGCTGGAGCCATGGCCACATTTCCCTGGGAAAGTTTAGACGAGTTAGAGGCGCCTGAGACCGAGGCAGATTTTTCCTATCGAAACCCAGTGCCGAACAATAACCTGGTGGCTCTGCCACCTCTGCTTTACTGTGCGTTTCATTGTTCATGCATGTGTTATTATGAAAATGTATCTTTCCAAATATACATATATATATATATATATCCTTCTTATCGGGCTTAGATAAGGGAGCACGTTTCTCCCAGAAAATGACCGCAAATGAAACAATTCATTATTTCCCCCCCGTGATGAACCGCTCGGATATATATTGCTTCTAAATAACAGAAGGGGAGGAGAAAACATTCTCTAGTAAAGCGGAATTCCTTCGTTAGACCGCCTCCTAAACGTGCTAATAAAACTAATTCGTTTTATTTGCCCTGAACTTTTATATCTAACCCGGCGCGCTGATTAGCACAGCCCTCTGAAGGCGGTGTGTTCCTATCTCTCCCGAGATGTGCCCCTTAAGATACGGCCGTTCCCACAATGAAACTGGAAAGAAAAGCGTCCCGTGCCTTTATCTGGCGGTGTTTGCTCCTGGGGCACTGGAGCTGCGCCGGGAGCAGAGCGGTGCTGCCGAGCAGCGGGGCGAGATCAGCCCTTTGGGGGGAAACAAGAAAAGAAGACAGAAGAAAAAAATTTGAAGGAGAGAGAAAAAAAAAATATGGGGAGTGGGGAGGAGGAGAAGGAAAGAAAATAATAGGAAAAAAATTAAAAGAAAAAAGTATAAAAGGTGGGGAAATAAGCAAAATAATAGAGAAGATCAGTTGAATGTGCTCAAAGTTTAATTATTTCTCTGATTTTGCATTTAAGGCAGGAAATGTGTAGGTCTTGCAGAGATTCGCTGCTGTTCTAAGCACATTAAAGAGTCCAGCACATTATTAGAATATTTCAGCCCTTCAGGAAATGTCCTCTTGAATGGAAATGTGTTTCTCCCATCCAAATGCTGGAGTAATTAAGAGGTTGCTCGCCCAAAACAAGGTGGGGGAAACTCACAAGAAAACCTAGTGTCGTTCATTCTAAATGTGGCTTCTTTTTTCTCCTGAAGAAGAGTCTTCAACAAATACCAACAGAGTGCTCGGGCCTCTGATTATCCTGTTTCAGAGGCATCTTTTTGAGCCCACAAAAGAGCCACATTTCGGGATCTAAAGATGCACAGAGTAATATGAGCAGGCTTCCTAGCAAACTCCAGTGCCCCTTCCTCCGTCAATTAATCAGAAAAGCATGTTCGCTCTGCCCAGAGAGGGAATTGTGTGGCTATATTGTGATTTCCCCCCTCTTTTTCCCCCACCTAGAGAAAAAAAAAAAAAAAAACCACAAACATATTTCTGAGCTGTCCATCCTCCGACGCTGTCATTGCAGTGCACTGACACTCTCCCACTCCCATCAGGTTTATCAGAGACAAATCCAAACCACTGCTAGCAGCAAATTCATATTTTCTTGGAGCAGAGTTCAGTGCCTGTGGTCTGACGGATGCGAGGAAGGCTGGAAGGCAGCTCCTGGCAAGGGTGAGACTGTGCCGCCAGGGGTTTGGGGTTAAAAGAAGTTGTCCCACGTCGGACAACTACGAATTGGTTTTGTTTTCGGGGTGCTGGTAGAATGACGGCCGAAGTGAACCAGCACCATCCCACTCCACCCCCGGCTGCTTCCAGCTGCAGAAACCCGAATAAAAAAAAAAACGTTTCTCCAGCCGTCAGTCGTTGCATTTCAAGAAAGCCTTGGGGTATCATTTGTATCTGTCAGAAAACATTAAGCCTTCAACTTTTTCATCCCGAGCTTTTTCAAGCGCTGCCGCTGGCCGCCGCGCCCGGGGCAGCCCCGAGCGGGATGCGGCTGGCGGGGCGGGGAGGCAGCCCCGGCTATCCCCGGTGCCCCGGGAAGTGTCCAGGACCAGCAGACACCTCCTTGTGCCTTTCCCCCGTCGTGTTTCAGTGGCGGGGAGAGCCGAGGTGGTGGGGCAGGCCCGGCCGGAGCGCGGGGAGCGGGACGGGGCAGGGAGGCAGTGGGAGGCCAGGGGGGCCGAGCGGCCGCTGGAAACCCTCCCGCAGAGCATCCGCGGCGCGGAGGGGCCCTGCGCTCCCGCGGAACGCGGAGGCTTGGCCGACATATGGAGGGACGAAGGCTGAGCGTCCAAAAGGGGCTGTTTTCGTTTTGCTCTACTTCTTAGGAAAATTGCTGTCCTGGCTGCGCAGAGGAGGACAGGCCGGCCGGGAGCCAGCGTAATTTTCCACCTTCCCCTCCTGAGCGATTTAACACGCACTTCGGGCTGGGTTTCTTCCCTCTCACTGCTTCCCACTGCACCCCGCCCGTGGGGGACCCGGCTCTAGCTGCGGCAAAGGTCGGGGGGTTCTGGGGCTCCTTTCGCCGTTTTGGGGTTTTGTTTCCTTTTCCCTTCAGGCCGGGGCCGCGGTCGCGCGGGGAGAGCAGAGCTTGGCCCTGCGCGGGGGCATAAACGCGGATCTGCACCTTGTGCGTAAGGGCCATGCTTTTCATTGGGGATGATGCTGTTTTGAGGCAGGACACCCCTGGAACACTTCCCCGACGGACACCACCCCCACGGTACAGTGGAACAACAGCCCCCGCCCGTGCAGTGCGCTCCGTGCTCCGCGGGGCATCGCGCAGCCCTGCGCACACCCGAGCGAGCGCGCATCGCCGGACTCTGCTTCTCCTGACACGCGTGGTCATCCCGTGGGTCAGAGCCACGCATCAGCAAAGTGCGCCCGTGGGGCACTTTCTGGATGGTTCCATTATTAAAAGTTGTTTTCCTGCAGCAGGTCCGGTCTCCGGTTCAGCAAAGGGGGCGCCGAGGGAGGTTGGCGGTTTGGTTTGGGCTTGGTTTGGCTGGGATTGCATTGTTTGGGTTTAGCTGGGCTTGGTCTGGTTGCATTCGTTGCGGTTTGGTTTGGTTTGGTTTGGTTTGGTTTGGTTTGGTTTGGTTTGGTTTGGTTTGGTTTGGTTTGGTTTGGTTTGGTTTGGTTTGATTGGTTTGGTTTGGTTTGGTTTGGTTTGGTTTGGTTTGGTTTGGTTTGGTTTGGTTTGGTTTGGTTTGGTTTGGTTTGGTTTGGTTTGGTTTGGTTTGGTTTGGTTTGGTTTGGTTTGGTTTGGTTTTGCTGCGTGGACTTGAGTTTGGTTGAGCTGGATTGGGTTTGGTTGGACCGAGTTTGTTTGAATTGGCGTTGTTTGGACTGCGCTTGGCTGGGTTTGGTTGAACTGGGTTTTGTTGGGTTTGCCTTGGGGGACTTCTCCCTCCTCTCTTGCCTCACTGCAGCTCTGTTTCTCAGAAGGCTTCCCAGGCGTCCCTCTCTTCTCGGGTAGATGTGTGCTTGGGAGGACGTGTCTTCATTTTTGTAACAATTCCCAATGATTTATAGACTGAATCTTAGTCTATACAACGGTAATAAATCTGAAAAGGAAAAGCTGGCAGAGACTGAACTTCACCACCTGATATATGGCCCAGGTGGTTTGGCATTGGCTGCAACCACCGCAACCAGTGGGGATGGGAGCGCCACTCCGAAAGTAAGGACCGCTCCAGACACCTGGGGGTGAAAGGGCGCTGTCCCCTCGGGGACAGTGAGAGTCCCGCTCTCGGACAGACGCGTCTGCGTCTCTTCTTCATGAGGCTGTCACTGGCGTGGCCAGCGCTGATTTGTTTCTAAGCTCCATCCTTAGTTCTGGGGTTATTTATAGCAGGAGGAAGTGGTGCGGTTTTATTTGCGGGTTTCCAGCGTTTTACACACCCCTGACGCAGTCCCCAGCCGGGGGTGCCGGGAGCGCGGTGGCTGCGCGGGCGCGGAGCGGCGGTTCCCTCCGACCACCCCACGCGCAGCGTTCCCACGTGAAGCTGTCCCGCCACCCCGGAATGATGCTCCGCGGGTCCTGCTCGCCCCAGCCCTTCCCTCCCTCTGTCTCTGCCCGGCCCTTCCCACGCCCACGCAGGTCGCGGCTCCCCAGGGACGTCCTGGCGGGGTCTCCGCGGCCGCTGCTGCGGCTCCTCCTCCTCCCCGGAGCTCCTCAGCCACCCGAGGCCGTGGGAGAAAGGGGTACCCGAGCCCGGTGCCCCCGTCCTGCCCGGTGCCCCCGTCCTGCCCGGTGCCCCCGTCCTGCCCAGCCTGTGCGGCCGCTGGGCCCCCTCCAAGCCCCGGGACGAGCAGCCGGCTCCAAGTGGGACATCAAGGATTGCCTCAGGTGGTGGCCTGGCGGAAAGGCGGGACGTGACGTCAGGGAGGCAGCGAATGACGTCACGCGGACGGACCGTGACGTCACGCCTAGGGGAAGGAGTTGCCGGCGGAGAGCTGTCCCCGCCATCCCGAAGCTGAGCGCGCTTGCATGGGAGGGAAGAGGAGAAGCGCAGATCTGGGGGTGACCGCCCTAGAGGCGCGCTCTGTCGTGACATAAGTGTCGGGAGCAGCAGCGGGAATAACCGGGAGGATTTGGTTCTGCGCTCCAGGGCTGTGCCCGCTGCACAGAGCACAGAGTGAGAGGATGCCCTTAAATCCACGAAAGACGTATGAGACACACAGAGGAGACAGATACATGGTATGGATTAGGTAGATATAAGATTAGATTAGATAGATTTATGATATAGATATATTCTCCCACTGCCGAGCCGTGCTCAGGTGTGCACTAAATGCCCGCCCACGCCGCGGCCCAGGCACGGACACTCATGGAGACGGTCAAGGGACAACCTGGATCTGCTCGGCCCCTGAGGGTACTCTCTGTTTAAGGGCGGTATCGGGGGATGTCTGCCCCGGTGACACCCCACGAGGAACCGAGGGCTGCGATCGCCTGGAGAGGCAACCGGACCCGGCGTTACCGCGGTCGCCGCCTCGGCAGAATCACGGCGGTGCCCGGGCAGAGCCTATCTTTCCATCCAGCGGGGAGGAATTGAACCTAGAACGAATATTTTAAAACTAGATTTTATAGAACAGAATAAAAACCGTAATTCGGTGCATTATTTTCTTTAAAAAAGGAAAATTAAAAGGAACGAAAAAATGCTGCCTCCGGTTCGGAGGTTGCTGTGAGCAGTGGGTTTAAAATAGCCGGAGCGGAGCCAGGCTGTTGGCAGCAGACTCGTGGAATCACAGAACCATCAAGGTTGAAAAAGACCCTTAAGGTCAACGCCTCCCTCCCTCCGGCCCGCTGCGCTCCGTCCCCCTTCCGCCGAGGGCGGGGGAGCCCCCGCAGGCCCATCCAGGGCTGCCGCCCACGGAAATAAAGGGGAAAAAGGGGACGGTGAAGGGTCTCAGATACGGTGCACGTTTGCAGTATATTCACCTCCCTCCTCCTTGAGAGAAAGGCCGCTCCCACCGCTTCTCACACTGGAGGGGGTCTCCATCCTTCCCGTGCCTCCTGCATCAGCTGAGCCCCTTGAGGCTCAGAGACCCCGGTAAATATTTGCATTTTAAACCATGTCCATCTTAAACAGCCCCGAGGTTGTCTGGTTCACCTCGGGTGCTCGAAATTCCCAGTTTGCAGACTCCTGAGCGAAGTTCATCCGGGAGCGGTGAACAGGCAGAAGGATATCAAGATGTCACTTAAAAAAAAAAATTAACAAAAAGAAAGAGAGCTCGGGAGAGCTGACCCTGACAGCACCCACATGTGCATCCCCTGAATGATGCTAAAGACCAGAGGTGAAGGGATTCGGAGCTTTGGGCTTCCCACACCTGGGGTCCCCAGGCCTTGCGGGGTGCTGCCGGGGGTGCGGGGCGGGCCCGACTCCATCATCTCGGCGAGGCTGGAAAAATCCTGCGCGGCTGCAACACTGCTTCCCTCCACTTTTCCATAAAACAGTTCAAAAGTTCTCTCCCACATCTTTACTTGATTTGAAAGCAAAATAGAGTGTCAGGATAGATCAGTTAAAATGAGCCAAGAAAATAGAGAGGAGAGAAGGTCCTTTCCCTAGGCAGTCAGAGCCAGGGTCTTCCTCCCATTTCTCTTCTCCCCTTTCCTCTCACCGCCGGTACCCGCTGTTCCCACCTTTCTTCTCCCGTGGGATTTTCCAATTCGCCAAAACACCGAGGTGTTATCCAGGAGGGCTAAGGCCGCGTCCCGGCCTGCGTGGGCCGCACCGGGGACGGGCCCTGCTCCACACGCCCCTGCCTTGGGACAGGGTGCATCAATGCAGGAGAGGGGCTCTGCCGAGGAGGGGTGGGGGTCTCCCACCTCCCTCCCCGCCGGCTGCCCAGGCTCCCGGACTGGCATAGTCACAGAGACCCCTCCCAAGGATCACCGCGAGTTCGGCTGCAGCAGGAAAATTATTTGTTATTAATCATGTGCTGAAAGATGATGTGATGGGAGAGATGGCACTGCCGCTGCTCCCCCGGCTGCGCTCCCCCGGCCGCCAGCCGGGCCCGGGCAGACTGGAAAATAATGTTAAAAAAGGTTAAAACCAGTTCCGACAGAGCCCACAGCCCATGCACCCCTCCAGGAACATTTTCCCTGTGGGACTGAAACGTGTGGTGGGGTCGCTTAGCCCCACGCAGAGACCCTGAGGAGTGCGCGGGTGCGCATCCACTGCTGGGTGCGGAGGTTCCGCGGGTGGTGAGGCCCAGTCTGGAAGGGTGTGGGGATACCCGTGGGGCTGCCGTGCTGCGCGGGGGCGCAACCTGCGCGCTGCCGGCTGGTAGGGGATTACGGAGATGAGCGAACTGACGGGGTGCTGGGAGCGGGCGGGGGTCCCCAGAGGATTGTTCGCCTTTCCATTCGTTTGTGAAATATTTTTAATGCATCACCGAGTTTGGGGGAGGAGGCGGGTGAAGAGAAGGAGGAGGGAAGGCACCCCCGAAGGAGCCGCGGCCAGCAGCGGGGGCCGGGCAGGGGCGCGGGGCCCGCGGGTCTGGCCGCGGACGCGCAGGGGCGCGGATGGCGGGAGTGCGGAGTTGGGTCCCGCGCGGCCGGGCTGGGCCAGCGCTAGATGGAGTGATGCATGAGCGAGACGGGGAGGTTTTAACCTTCAGGGGGAGGAGCCCCGTTTAACTACAGGCATTTGTTCTAGGGCAGGTCACTTTAATCTCTTTAGCTTTAAACTGTCCAACTCGCAACTCGCGTTTCTCTATAAGGGATCTTTACCACTTCCCTGCCTATGCGGCCGGAGCGCCGTGACTCTCCCCAGCAGAGACAACCGCTTTCCACGCATTGTCCAGATTGCTTCCGACACCCTTAAAATAATACTGTTAGTAATAAGTGGATTTGCTTTTGGTTTTTGTTGATTTTTTTTTCTTCTTTAAAAAAAAAAAAAAAGCTCCTTGTTCCTTTCTGTGTGGAATAAACACCTGCAAACTCCCCCAGGCAGCCCGCCGCCCCTGCCATGGATTCCTTTAAAGGTGGAATGAATTTGGAGAGACTGCCTGAGAGCTTGAGACCCCAACCCTCCCATGACATGGCTTCCAGCTTCCATTTGCAAAGATCCTCGGAACCCAGAGACCCGATCGACAACTCAGCCAGTGAATCCTCCGACACGGAGGTGCCAGGTAACCCTCCCCCTCCCCGCGCCCCCGCGGCCCCGGCCCGCTCCCCCCGCGCTGCCTCCCCCTCCCCACCGCGCCTTCCCTCCGCGGGCGGCCGGGGGTGCCGAGCCTGCCATGGAGGCGATGGAGGGACGAGGGTGAGCGAGAGCTGCCGGTGATCGCGGCGGCTCCATCCCAACCGAGCCCCGGGAACAGGAGCGGGGGGCAGGGGCCCGCCTGGAGCTGCCTCCCCCACCGTGCCCGGCGCTGACAGCCCGCCGGGGGGACACATGGCTCCATGGTCCCATCCCAGGAGCTGCTCTCTTTTATTTATTTTATTTATTTTTAAATAAAAAACTGTCGTTATTAATTGATGGGGTCGGGAGGAAGGGGGGGCTCTTCGGGGAGTGCGGTTTTGCCGGATGTTTCTGAAATAATGTCAGCTTTTGCCCGGGTTTATTTTCCAGCTCGGCTGGTGCAGAGATGGAAAAAGATCTCTCTGTCAGCGAAAAAAAAAAATTTTAAAAAGAAAGAAAGGGCGGGCAGAGCCGGAGAGGCAGCGTGGGGCCAAGGCAGGCAGTGCGGGCCGCCGCGGAGGGGATGTGGGCGGCCGCGGAGAGGTTTTGCGTGGGAGCTGAACGCTTTCCCCGCAGGAAAAGGGAAGGATCCCCATGCCCTGACCATCGTGTGCGAGGGCTACAGGGAACGCTGTGCTCTCTCGGATTGCATTTAATTAAAACAACAACATTTTTAGAATGACAAGGGAAAGGTGGAAGAGAGGAACAAAAGCTTTCAGAAGGAGTGTGATATTCCTTCTCCAGCCAGACTGTTTCAGAGGGAGTTTATGTTTTATATAATTTTACTTTTCTAATAGCTATTGTTGCTCTTCGGAATTTTAACCTAGAGAGTAGCTGTTGTAAGAGTCGGTCCCAAAGTGGCACTCGGTGATAAAAAAGGGTTTGGGTTGTACCTCCCGGCCTGATTCGCAAACAAAGTTAGAGACCGGCGTCTGGAAGGGACTCTGAGATTAGAGGGGATTATTGGAGATTAGAGAGGGAGATTTGCTCCATTTTGCCCTACCCCTGTGTGTGACCCCTCGGTGCTGCCGGAGGGCTGAGGAGCTGCCTGCTTTTCTTCTCCGAGAACCTGTAAAATACCTTTAGATTTTATTTTTTTTAATGTGAAAAAAAAAAAAGTTACAAAAGCCGATTAAAGACGCCTTGCCTTATGATTTGGAATTGTATCACAGCCTGCGCTGAGGCCGGATTTTTAGGGAGGACCGGGCGAGTTAAAGTCAGCGCTGGGCGAGGGGCCGCGGCCGGAGCCCATCGGGGCCGCTGCCGCTTCCCGATCGCCCCGCTCCCTCTCGGCGCGCCTGATCCGAGCCATTGGCGGCCCGAAGCGGGAGGATTTGTTTTGGCGGGGGTGATTTCTGTTTCTGTTTCACCGCCGCCGCCGCCGGGCCATGCGGCTCGGCCGGTCTGGGGCCCGGGGGGCCCGGGGCGATGGGGTCTGTGCTGAGAGGCCTTGGCTTCCCTGCAAACCCCCAAAGCCATCGACCCCTTTTGGGGGTCCACTGAGCAGCTGAGGGTCGCTCGCACCCTCACCCCTTTCCCTGTGCAGGGCTCCCAGCAAGGTGCGATTCAAGGGTGACTTTGCAAGGACGAGTCCTCGCGGGCTCTGCATTCAGCACGCGATTATTTTTAGACTCCCGCTTACCTCGTAGAGGTCGGGGCTGTAGAAATAACCCCGGGCCCGCCGGCGGCGGGACAAAACATTCTGTTTAAAAACAAAAACAACAAACAACAAACAAAAAACAACTCTTTAAAGGAGGAGGAAAAAAAAAACCTCCCAGGGCGAAAACTCGCCGCGGTTTGTCCCTTCTGCAGCAGCAGGACCGAGGCCGGGCTTGGCCGCGGCCCCGGCCCTGCCCGGCCCGGCCGCAGCTTCCCCGCGCCTCCGGGGCCCAGCCCGGGAGCTCTTCGGTTCAGGGCCTTCAGACCCGCTCCGAGCGCTTCAGCCGGGACAAACCGGGCCCAAACCGGGCTGGGAGAGCCAGAGAGCCCGTTACGAAAGGGGAGAGAGTGTTCGCAGGGCCGGTATTGAATTCCTGCTCCCAGCCCGCGCAAATCCCGACCGAGAAAATCCTCCTGGGTGGTTTCTTTTTTCTTTCCTTCTTCCGATATGATTTTTGCGGAGGGCTTCGCTCAGCCCTGTGTTAAAATAAACACCAAAATCCTAATAGATTAAAAATAAAATAATTATGAAAGTAGAATGAAGTGGGGGAGCGGAGAGGGGCCTTTTGCAATTAATTGCTCCAGGGTTTTCCACCCTTGCCCTTCCAAAGTTTCCTGTCGCGGCCGAGCACGACAAAAACAATGGAGCAAAGATCACGCCTTTGTTTGGAGGGAGAGAGAAGGTGCCGTAGAAAGGCGGAGCGGCCGGTGATACGGGGACCCCGCTCCCCACGAATGCAGTCACCCGTCGGGCCCGCTTTGAGCCGCTCTGGGGGTCCCTCCTGCTGCATCCCTGGGTGCCCTGGGCCCGGCAGGGATCCCCGCTCCTTCCCCAGCCGCGCCGGGAAAGGCTGGGATGGGCTGCGGGGCGTTCGCTGGGTGCAGGGCTCGGCGGGACACGAGTGGGTGCCCCCCACGCGTGCCTCCGGTGGGGTGGGCAGCGCTGGCTGCGGGGCGGGGGTACCTGCCTTTGTGTGTCTGTACTGGGAAAAAAAAATTAAAGCACAAAAACACAAAATAAACCAAAAACAAATAAACCAACCATCCCCAACCCGACCCCCTCGCAGAAAAAGAGCGTAGCGGCGAGCAGAAAAACGAAGACGGGGCCGCCGACGACCCGGCGAAGAAGAAGAAGCAGCGGCGGCAGCGGACCCACTTCACCAGCCAGCAGCTGCAGGAGCTGGAGGCCACCTTCCAGCGAAACCGCTACCCCGACATGAGCATGCGGGAGGAGATCGCCGTCTGGACCAACCTCACCGAGCCCCGAGTCCGGGTAAGAGGGGCTGCAGCCCCGGCGGGAGCGGGCTCTGCTCCGGGGCCGCCGGAGCGCGGGGGGCTCGGGGAAGCCGCCCCTTCTTGGGGAGCGCTGCGACGGTTCGTTCTGGGCTGGATGTTAATGACCAAAATTGGGATCCAGGTCGGAGAGGAGGAAGTCAGCTCTCGGCCACGGAGAGATGCCGCCCGGAGCGGGTAGCGACCGCCGGCCTTGCACTGGGGACCGGTTCGAAAAGTGGGCGGCGAGCGGTGCAGGGAGCAGCGGAAGGCCAGGCTGGGGAAGGGTCTGACTGTAGGGAAGAACCCTCCGGGCTGGACGAAAAGCGTCGCAGAGATGGAGGAAAATGCCATCCGAGCAATTTCCCCGTGCTCTGGTTATTCCCAGTAATCGCAAGGGCCGTGTCCCAGCCAGCCGCTCCCCTCGCTATCGCGGCACGGCGAGCTCGGATCCGCTCCGAGCGGCTCTCGCTGCCGGCCCCTCCCGGCTCGCGTCCCCAAGGCCGCGGGCTGTGTGTGCGGGCCGAAAGGGCAGGGGATGGGATGGGAGCCGGCATCAAATCAATACGCGCTGAGACACAAACTTGTACCGCGAAGGCGCTCGATTTTTACACGCCTCGGAGCCTATGCCACCATATATATATATATATATATATATATATGGATATATGGTGTATATATACACATATAGCATACATATATATATGCGCCCCTCTTAGCCAGACTCGAGGAGTTTGGTAATGTTAGTGCACACGGCGAGAAATATATATATGTGTGTGTGTGTATGTGTATGCATGCATATTTATATTTTTATATATAGAGATGTGTGTGTGTATGTGTATGTGTGTGCTTCGGCAGTTCTTTACAGGGATTTATGAGCGAAAGATCCTGGCAAAGAACGACCGGGCCGAAGCAGCTCGGTGTCTATGGATCTATCGCTGTGTCTCGGTTTGTCCACCTCCCAAATGCTTTTTTCCACCCGAGACATTTCCCCGCGCGGTTTCGACAGTGGTCCCACACCACGGGCCCGTGGGCTAAGCGCAGGAGGAAACGGGAACTGCGGAGCGAAGCCCCGCTGCACGGAAAATGCACTTCTTCTTTTTTCCTTTTTCGTTTTTAGTTTTGAACTTGGCAATTAAACCTTGAGTGACCAAATCGGATTACAGAGATTCTGCTTTAAACATTTGAAAAGTAAACACCCATCTGAAACAATTGCGTCTGAAAGCATTGTCTTAATTGAGTTTGAAACAAAACAAAGCCTGAGCATTAATATTGGTTAAATATTTCAGGGAACAAATATAACTAAAATATGAGTTGCAATTAACATAATTTCGTTCTCCTTCTGTGTGGAGATGTTTGGGTTTGATGTTTTGAGATGGCAGATTGCAAATCTAACCTTAATTTGCTATGAGGGCCTTCCTTTAAAATGTCTAGGAGCCATAATTAAAACTATTACCCTCATTTTCAGGAAATTCCTGTCTGGAAGCACCTTCCGAGGAGTATATTACAGGTTTTGAACATGTTGGCTTTCGTTTCCTATTTATACAGGATTCTTTTTATTATTGTTATTTTTTAAAATAGACTCCGCCATCCGTTCCCCCACGGAGTTTCCATCCTTGAGCCCGGTATTTAATAATAGTTGTGCCATTTCTGCGCCGGGAGGGGAGGCCCCAAGAGCCGCCCCCCGCCCCCACCCCGGCTCCGGAGGGAGCGCAGCCTGCGCGGGGCCGGGCCCCGGTGTCCGCAGGGAGCTCGTGGGCCCCGGCTCGGTGGGAGAAATCCGGGATGCGGTGGGGAGGATGCTGCAAGGGAGGCTCGCAGCCCGGGCGCAGGCAGCGGCAGCAGGATGCAGATTTTTAACCAATTTTTAAAGATTTTTGAAGCTGTTCGGCTTCAATCAGGGGAGACTCAAATGCTTTCTGAGGGATATATATACATATACATATACATATATATATATATATATATATATATATTTATAATTATGTATAAAATAATGATGTATAAAAATAATCATAGACTGGAACCGGTTTTCGCATCAAACATCAGGACCAGCCCCTTTTTTCTGTTTCCTGGTTAGGGCTGTAAATTCTCATTAGATATAAAGGCTGCATCTATCCAAGGGCGATGCGGGGATTGATTTTTTTTTTTTTTTAACCTAAACATACTAATCTAATCCCTTTTTTTATGATCTGTAACAGGGGACTTTTATTACACAGCATTAGCGTTCGGAAACGCGGCAGAGCCGGGGCGAGCCGGCCCTAATCAGAGCGGGCCGTGTCTTTGCCCCCGTCTGGCTCCGGGATGGGGGCGGCGGGGGCGCGGGGGGCCGCGGACACCCGCGCAGCACCGGCCCGGCTGGGGCAGAGGGGGATGCGCGCAAAGCCCGTCCCGCGGGCGGGGGCGGCGGGGACAGGCGGTGCGGGACAGGCGGTGAGGGGACAGGCGGTGCGGGACAGGCGGTGAGAGGACAGGCGGTGCGGGGACAGGCGGTGAGGGGACAGGCGGTGCGGGGACAGGCGGTGAGGGGACAGGCGGTGGGGGACAGGCGGTGCGGGACAGGCGGTGCGGGGCCGCGGAGCCTGCTCCGGTGCTCCGGAGGGACTGGCTGGGCCGGGAGGAGCGGGCTGCGGTACCTGCACGCATCTGTGCCCCGTCGGTGGGCTGGGGGGCTGCTGCGGCCCCGCACTCACCGAGACGTGTCGCTCCCCCCTCCCCACGCAGGTTTGGTTCAAGAACCGCCGAGCCAAGTGGAGAAAGCGGGAGCGGAACCAGCAGATGGACCTGTGCAAGAACGGCTACGTGCCCCAGTTCAGCGGGCTGATGCAGCCCTACGATGACATGTACGCCGGCTACCCCTACAACAACTGGGCCACCAAAAGCCTCACTCCGGCGCCGCTCTCCACCAAGAGCTTCACCTTCTTCAACTCCATGAGCCCCCTCTCCTCGCAGTCCATGTTCTCGGCGCCCAGCAGCATCCCCTCCATGAACATGCCCTCCAGTATGGGCCACTCGGCCGTGCCGGGCATGGCCAACTCCGGCCTCAACAACATCAACAACATCAGCGGCTCCTCGCTCAACTCGGCCATGTCCTCGCCGGCCTGTCCCTACGGGCCGCCGGGCTCGCCCTACAGCGTCTACCGGGACACTTGCAACTCCAGCTTAGCCAGCCTCAGACTGAAATCAAAGCAGCACTCCAGTTTCGGCTACAGCAGTTTGCAAAGCCCCGGCTCTAGTTTAAACGCCTGTCAGTACAACAGTTGACGGACTTGACACAAACCACCTCCGACAAAACACCGCAGACAAAGCAAAGCAGAAGCAAAGCGACGTTTAACGGAAAAGAAAAAAAAAAATTAAACCCGATGATGATTCAAAACAAAACCCAAGCAAGTGAGAGAGGGGAAAAAAATAAAATAAAGCACACGCCCCCCCCCCCCAGTAAAACCCCCAAAATTCCGCGGACTTCGACTGTCTAGAAAAAAAATTTAAAAAAACAAAACAACGATGCAACCAACAAAACAGCGCTTTAAAAATATTTTTTAAAAATTAAAAAAAAAAAAATCCTCCATCTAAAACCGTAAACGGACCAGAAAACTTTTGCAAGAGACATCAAAATCTGGTACATGGATGAGTTGCAATTTTTTTTTCTCTGGATTATGCGGGTTGTATGTGTTTACTTGAACTTGCACAGGAGTCGGTAAGGCGGCCGCTGCCCCGCGGGGAGGGCGGCAGGAGGGGACGCCTCGGTGGTAAGAGCTGGTGGGACGGTTCTTGGCCGCTTGTCGCACGGGAAGAGTTTGGTTAATGTTTACCACTGAGAAACAGAATCACACTCGGAAAAAAAAAAATGGTTTGGGGAAGAGGGGAGGGAAAAAATACCAAATCGCAGAGTAGAATCTGCAGGGCGAAAAATGGTTGAAATATTAGGTACGAAACTATTAAAATAATAATGACAAGGGTCAACCACTTATATAAGGTTATATTTATATCTACCGTTGCATTATGCCGGATCATTGTCCTTGGCCGTTGAATAAACTGTTTTTAAAATGCATGATTCTTGATGGTTTTTCTTTAGTTGGAAGCTCTAATCCAGTCATTCCTGATACTAAGCAGCTCAAGGTTTCTACCTCTTCATCCTTTCCAAAAGACTGCAGTATCCCCGGTTGTGAGAGAGCACAGAAACCCTTCAGCAATGCGAAAACTGTTCATCTTTTTCCCCATCCAAAGTCTTATCCTGATAATGAAATTATCATTCATCTTTATTTAAATGCAGGGGGTGTTTTTTCTCTTCGAAAAGTAAAACGGAAAACCAACCCCCATTTATAAAGTCTCGAAAAAAAGACGAAAAATGGTTTGTTATGAAGTGATTTCAGATACTGCATCTCTGCTAGAGAAACAGAGAGCCTCGGCGTCCGGAAAGGTTCTTAGCAAAGCTGAAAGCGTTCCTTGCTTTTCTAAATGTGAAGGAAAAACAAGGAACCAAAAAAAATTCTTAAGGTGTTATTATCTTAAGGTGTTATTATGTAAATATAGATACTTTTACAAGTGCTTGTTGGAAAAAAATAAAAACAACAAACAAAACATGGAAATGATAAATATGATTTTTATTAATACGCATACAAAAGGCATATGAAGTTTAATTGCAGGCATATTTGTTGCTTATTTTTGTCGATACTTATTACCTGTAGATGACAAAGAGACATAAAATGCACACGGTACTCCTTTCCCAGTGTATTTCACACCTGTGGTAAACGTTACGCTGGATGTTTCAATTATGCTGTTGTGGATAAGGATGCAGTATATATATTGTTTTATAAGTTATGTTTTGTGATTTTTTTTTTCCAAAATTAAGAGCATGGGAATAAAAAAGAAAACTTAAAAAAAAACCTAAACCGAAACGAAATCTAGAAATGCCTTTAATGTTTTTTTTTCTGGCTTTGTTTAAGAGAGTGACTAAACAAGAAGAAAAGCAACTTTCTGTCCCCCGCCCCGTGGTGATATTTTGGGGAGGCCCCCACCCCGCTTGCCCCGGTAGTTGCGCCGTCTCCCCGCATCCCCCGCAGCTCCCGGCGGGGAAGGAGCCCCGGTCCCTGCCCCCGCTCCCCGGGGCAGCCCTGGCAGGGGAAACCTTCCCCAGTCCAGTTTTATGGTGGGCTGTTACCGCTGCTGGCCGGAGCTGGGGATCCAGCCCTCCGTGCCGCTGCATTGCTGCATCCCCCCCATTCCCATCCCGCTGCCTCGGGTTTTTCCTCCCCACGGAGTTCATCCCCGCACCCTGCAGCACCCGCCGTGGGTCTCAGCCCTGACCCTGCTCCTTCTCCCGCAGTCGCTCGTCCCGTTTCGCTAAGGTGCGTTTTTCTCTTGTTTCTCCAAATGCCCCGACATTCAGAATTTTAAAGCTTGTTCGACTAATTCTCCCTCTCCTTTAACTTTTTGCAAGCACAAACCCCTCTGATTTAATTGCTATTTATTTCCTATTTATTAACTATTACGATTACTATTAATGTTTTGCCCCAAACGCCATAACTGATATAACGAATGAATGAAACATCCGGAGCCGGCGGCAGAAATAGCCATGGCCGAGGCCCTGCCCCGGCCCAAACGCGCTGTTTGCGCGGCCGCGGGTGGCCCCGTTCCCCGAGGATCGCAGTTCTCTGTGTCCCGGGGGCTCCCTCGCCAGCCGGGGCTGGGGGGCTGACGAAGGGCTTTGTTCTCATTGCGGGGCTCAGCAGAGCGGACCCGAGTCTCCCCGGCTACTCCATCCCTCGCCATGGCCACGGGAGTGTCACCAGAGCAGCACAAGGACTGAATTTCCCCCGTTTGCCATGCGGGAGGGGATCTGCCAGCCCTCCGCTGGGATTTTAGCCAGGATTTGAGGTGCTCGTTTTCTCCTGTTCCTGGAGGTAGCACCATTAGCCCCAGGTCAGAGCGCGGCGTTCACGTTTTGCCAAAGCCTGCCCCAGGTTCCCGTGGCTGTCGGAGCCCTGAGCCGCCCAGCCCCTCCCGAAACTGCCTGCAGGAAAGCGCAGGGACACAGCCTGCTGTGCTGGTGTCCCTCACCAGCGTCCCCCGCCCTGTGACTGTCCCACGGAAAGCTGATCTGCTGCTGCTGGGCGACATTTGGGCATCTTGACACATTTATGGCTCAGGGAAAGGAAAATTCCAGGGAGAATGAACAGAAGGCAGCTCCTTCACCTTCCCTGTGCACTTTTACGGATGCCCTGCTTCCAGCAGCCTTTGGGTCTCCCCCACAGCGGTTAGACCTTGAATTATTCGGGGGTTTGGGGTGTTCGAAGCACGGCTTTGGACTGCCTTGCCCGAGCACATTTTCCTTAGCGTGTGCCTTCGGAGGTGCCCAGGTGTGTGCCCACACTGGGGGCAGCGAGGAAGGCTGTCATTTAATGGTTCATTACTCCCCGCAGTCCCCACGGGGGGAGGGCAGTATAAAACTCCGCTCGCCACCACCCTTCTCACTTTAGTTTTTGAACTCCCCTTGCCGGCGTCTGGCTGGTGGGTGTTACCACACACCGGAGGCGATGGTTTTCCATCCCTCGCCCTGCGCATTCCTCCCGGTGCTTTCCGCTGGAATTCCTGAAGCTGCATCACTTGGATCCCGAGAGGTCCATCCCGCTGGGACCCTGCCTTCCCGCGGGTGCTGCACAGAGTCCCCAGACTTCTGCCTGCTAGCTGCAGGCTTTGTCAAGGCAAGCAGATCCTTGGAGCCAGAGAAATACCGGAATCAAGTTTTCCATTTGTTCTGGGTGTGCTGTGGCTTACCTATTAGCATTTCCAAAGCGAAGCTGCCTGGGGAGAGCTTTGCCTGGGTTTGCCTGGGAATGCTGCACGGTCCTGAGCGGTCCCGGACCAGCCCAGGAGCGGCTGCACAGTGGAGCTCTGGTTGCACCAGCCCAGATGAAGTTCACGAACACTTTATGCCTCAGACTGAGCAGTCCGTTCAAGATTAAATGTCTTCTAATAAAAAGCTGTGGTCAGTTTAATTCTAAATTGCATACTTCTCTTTATCTGTGGCCTGGAACTCAGCAAACTATGCAAAGTCCCATTTAAATTAATAGGATGCTTCAGTACCGATTTTAATGGGGTTTTGTATAATAAAAATAACACCTAGAAATGCCCTAACATTTTGCTGCAATCTTGCAACAAAAGTCGGTGGAACTGGGATAATAAAAATACAGGTTTTATATGAAACCTATGAAGGGTTTGTCATTAACTTCAGTGGCACAGTTTCAGGCCTTATTATTTTAGTATATGGTTGTATAAGTAAAAATTACTTTATCAATTAAACGAGAATCTGTGACTTTTCTGCTTCAGTCTGGCAACTTGTATGTGAAATATTTAGTTTTATGTTATCAAAACAGCTAAATATACCAACTTATAAACCAGCCCATATACAAAGACTGAGAACAAACAAAATACAAAACTACACAGTGTTTTTGCTCAGTTTGCCCATCAAACAAAGCTGAGTTGTTACTTCTAAGAAAATACTTCATATGCCTCCTTTAATTTATCAAAGAGAACAGTTCTCTGCCCAGACTCATAGAAAACAGTAAAAGTAAAATATATTTTAATTAACAGAGCTGCAAAATAAAATCCACAGCTATGCAGCAAGCCTCCTCTGTGGCTCACCATTGTGTGAACTGCTTGGACAAGCTGCTCTTATTAACAAGCCATGGGCTATGCTCTGTTCCAGACTGATTAAGCAGTAGGGCTGCAGGCAGATTTTCTATCAAAAATGTTTCAATGGCAGCCAGCCTGTTCTTCTGCAGAATGATGGGGTTTTTTACAGGAAAAAATAATTTGTTTATCCTCAACTCCAATTTCTTTAATGAAGAAAGCATATGCACAAAAATTTTATTTACTAAATAACTTCCCAACAAATAAAAATTCTCATAGGAAATAAAAAGAAGAAAAATGAAAGAACATATGCATTTGATTTTTTCCCCCTTTTCTTCACTCAAGCATTTCTTGCAGAAAGCCAGGTAACTATGTTCAGTCTCTGCTAGAGACAAGCAAATTTGCTCACAAATCTTCCCAGGAGATCAGTGGAGCTGAGGGAAGGCTGGTGCCCAGGGGCAAACCCCAGCGATGTAAATGAGGAGCCCAGAAACAGCTCCTCCCGCCACCTCTGCTGCTGCAGCCCTGCAATCCACGGCAGCCTGCGATTCCCCCTGGAATAACATGTAAAGCAGCACTCGCTCCGGGTTGCTAATTCAAGTCTTGCAGAACAACTTCAGACTTCCCCCGTCAGAAAAAATGCCAGAAAACCTATGTGTTAATATGCAAAAAACAAAAATCTCACCTAGTATGAGCAGGGACAAAGTAGTGGCTGTCCCCCAGAAGCACAAAGTAATTTATATTGCAGGGTTCAAAGTGATACATG